GTGCAGAGGTTCACGCGACCTTGAGAACGTATCGCATCATCCTTGAACGTGAACCACGGGTCAGCAACAGCGGTGAGCCGTGTATGCTTAACCGATACATGCACTTATCCTCTATAGTAGTTTGGCTTTAGGTAGAAAGGCAGGAGCTGCTATAAGTGCATGCAAATCGAGCTCGAAATAACTCTAGCTCGCCTCTCCCGCGGTCTAAGAACGGAATCATCGATTCGAGAGGAAGCTACCCGCTAACCCCGACGGCTAATTAAAACCGTTTTAAATAAGCTTCGTCCTCGTTCGTCCTGCGAATCGATCGCTCGATTCCGATTTCTACCACATGTTATATACACAAGGTCTACCGTAATATATGTATGTATATCGTCCAATTCAACGGTTGATCGTATATACAGAGAATGAAAAAGAATGAAGGTACTGGCCCACCCTGTACATACATATATGTATATATGTACACAAACTTGTATAAAAATATATTAATTTTTCAACGCGAAAATAATATTGTAAATTGTATTGTTATTATTATTATTATTATTATTATTATTATTATTATTATTGTTATTATTATCGTAGAAGGGGTAGTTTAATAGTGGTTGCATAAATAGAGAAGGGGTTTGAATGCATGCTATTAGTAATAGTGAAGACGTACCCTGTACCAAGTGGCCACCTGCGAGGCGCTCGAAAGGGGTTGGAGAAGCGGTGGTATATCCGCGACGCAACACACATAGGCACGCCGGAGGCGGAGAGACACGAAGAGATTTTTCGTAGTGGTTTCGCAGGTGTACGCATATTTTCGTTCGTTTACGCGGTGTGTGCGCGGCGTTCACGCACGTGAACGGGCACGGGGTGCGTACGAAGAGATCGGCCGAACCCCCGACGGATGGTAGTAGAGACGATAGTAGTAGCGCACACGCACACAGGTGAATTCGTGGTGGTTGGTTGGTGGTTGGTGGTGGTTCGGTGGTGGCGGGTGGTGGTAGTAGTAGTGTATTCGCACGCCCCGTGCAAGTGAGGCAATAAGCAAAAACAACAACAACAACAACAACACCATAGGTCAGATAAATGTAATAACACGATTGTTTTAAAGGTAAAAAATCTCGACGTGGACGCTGGCGCGCGTCGTCTGTGCATAAGTACTAATTAGTTACGCTATTATACATACACACAGTCTTATCCAGATGTACGTGTAGCTAATTGTGATCTCAGTGAAGGTAATTTGTGCACAGTGTGTACGTGTGTCAAACATTGTCGCGAGAATCCTTCGGAACACGTTCGATGATTCACCTCGCGATTCTTCACATCAACGAGAAAATAAGTATGACATTTTTCATTGGATCGTGACGACGATCATCGAACTAATTCCGAAAACAGAGTCGACGGGTGAACTGGGGATTCGTCTAGAGCAGCGGTCAAAGCGAACGAAAAGTGAGAACAGAAAAGCGGACTTCGACTAGTACTTAGACACAAGAATCTCAAATCTACTGGTTTTATGCAGTGGACGTTCGCAGCAAAGGAAAAACGAAAGTGAACGTGAGAGATGTAGAAGTCGCGTTCGAAACGGAAAGACCGACGCGCGAGAAAATTCCTGGCGTGTCGTTCGCGAGGAAAAGATAGCAAAACAAAAAAAGAAGGAGGATCACGTCGGACACGAAGAAGCAGAGGAAGCCATACACATAGATACGTTCTAGTCGCTATTTCGTCTAAGGAAACGGTGTACGTGTCTGTTCTCGTTATGTACATATGTGTGGTCGAGTCCTGTTTGAACGTGATCTCGAATTTCTTCGGAGCCGGAGACGTGGCCGTCGCGAAACGCCGCATGCGATTTACATTTTAGCCTGGCCGGATCGCGCGTGCATCGCAGCTCGTGCATCCTCCGCCCGGTACGAATATCTTGATAAATAAAGTGAGACGTTCGAGAGGTTGCCTGGCCGCGCACGGTAGCGATCCACCCCGAGAGATCTCTTAATCCTGCGTGCATGCTTCGTGACTTTACGCGGGCTCCGGCGTCGAACGCGCTTATTCTCGGCGCGACGCGACGGCTAGCGGCTGTGCACCGATGAAAAACAAAAGGGAAGAGTCGGGAAGAAGCCCCGGGACCGTTCGAGTCCCGGCGAGTCTGTTCTCTGCAATTTCGCGAAATCAGCATACAAACTGGCTGTTCTACGCCGCGGCACACCGTCACCGTGCGTATATACACGCGCATACTTTTCGAAGTCCTTGACAGAGCTGCAGAATTCCGTTGAACCCGACGGCTCGCAACCAGTGATCATCGGACCGAGAGCAAGGACGACCGAAATTACGTACAGAGATGACCGAAATGAAGCACACGGGTGTTTTTAAACCAAGAGTAAGTACATATTTTGTTCTGCAAGAATCTACGAACGGTTCGGCGCCAGGATAACCGGCGTCTGATCGGTGAACGTTAATTGACGCGAACGAATCGCGGGAGGTGACCGCCGCGTTCTACATATACATTCGGCGCGCGTATCGACGTCCCGACTCTTCCAGTCCATCTTCAAGGATCTTCGCTAATGGATTCTCGCGAGAGCCGAGTCGAGTCAGTCATTCGTAAACAGAGCGCGGAGACGAGAGAACGGGTGGACTCACCTTGGGCAAGGATGCCAGGCATTGCTGCTTCACGTCCCAGACGAGCTGATCCTTCGGGAATTGAAGACACTTGCTGACGTAAAGCTCCGGGACGTGCACCCTGACCAGGAGCACTCCCTCCTCGACCGGTCCAGCCTCCGCGGTAGCAGCCGCGACTGCTGCAGCCGTGGCCGCAGCCGCAGCCGCAGCCGCATCTTGGTTCGGTTGATTCTGAGCTTGGCCTTGAGCCTGGCCTTGAGCCAGCCCGCCTTGCGGACTCGTGGCCTGACTCGGTGTCTGATACAAACTGCGATGCTGTGCCATTGATTCCTATTTCCAGTGATATAGATCAATATAATATCCGACATACGTCAGAACTAGCCGTATCAAGAACAATTTAATAATTCTTCACTAGCATTCTCTGTCGCGACTTTTTCTATCGGAATGTGTGAATGTGTGTGTGTATGTGTGATAGATAGAAACCTCTCCAAAGCGTATTTCCTCTATCCTTTAAAGAGACAAGAAAAATACATCGGGCGCTCGGTCTGTTCTCCCATATCCACGATTATTATTCAATTCTCAACGTCTGAGAATCGAAGGATTTGCCAATTAGGCGTAATCGAATTACGAGAATCGATTACGCGAAAAGGCCGCCGTCACGTTTTCACGTCGATGCGATAACGCGCGGTTTTACAATCCCGACCTCTGACCCCGCAGGTTAACCATCGGTCAGCGATAACTTACGCGCTAACGAGCAACGTCCGACCACTTTCACTCGAAACTTTCGAACGCGCGTACCTAAGCATAAACGTCCGCGTCTAGTAACTCTCGCGCAGCTTTATATCACCGGTTGCGTGTCTTCGTAGCTCGCGAGCAAGATTAACGTTCATTGCCGTGCGGCTTCGGCATGGTAGTAACCCGCGGCTCGTCCGACACGCATCGACCATTCAATTTGTCGATTTCCCCGTGCAATTATTTCGCTTTAGGACGCTCGCGTATGTATCGCGATCGCGGGGGTACGCTAATTTCCTTTACTCCTCGCTCTGCAACGTCGGCCGCGCACGACAAAATCAGGATACCGATTGCCGAAGGGCAGGAGCGAATAAATAACCACGATTCCCGGTGAGGCGGTCTCTTAAAGAAAACTAGAATGCAGTCGCGTCTGGATCGGAGTCTAACGGCCGCGTCCCCTTAATGAGAGTGCGAGCCAGAAGTTTCGCGGCTGTTCCCACCGAGCATTGTCTTCCACCGAGGCGAGCTTTATGTTTTCGCGAGGGGGAGTCTAGTCGCAGAAGTAGGAAACAGCGACGGGGAAACAATATCCTCGTAAACTGCGCGCCGGCTATTTAGCTACCCAATGCGTCGCGAATATATCTACGCGACTTCCCGAATTACTTCTCCCCTCGGAGTTAAACGTCCGCGCGATGCGCATTCCGCGGGACGCACAATGCGCGAGAGCTGGGGAAACTTACGACGGCCGAGAAGTAAAGAGCCGTTCTCGGATTTTTAAGATCGATCAAGCGTCGAGCGCAATTGTTCGGCCTCCCGAGGCCTGTCAGACTCTCGGGGCGAGGAGAAGTTTGATGGGAAACCGCAGACGCCATTAAAAGTAACCGTGGCCTGCGTTAAAACTTTAAATAACCCAGTGACCGCACCGGCCGGTCTATACGCGAGAGGCCTACGCGCCGCGAGGACAATAGCCAAAGAAGCCCGGGTACGAAAGGTGGAAGCGAGGCAAGACCGCATTCTTCGCACCCCGACGCGGTGCGCTGAGAAAAACCGCTCGTCCAGCATTTAAGCGTTAATATTTATTCCACGGGCCAGTGAAGGAACCCAGAGTAAATTCATGGTTTCATTGATAATTCCACTGTCACGGTAGGCGCGTATGAACGTCACCGTCGAACGAATTCCGAGATGCTCCTACGTTGCAAATCACAGAAGCTCGGATTGCGTAACTCTGATCCAGAGGGCGAGGCGTTACGGTGATCAGATTTTTCTCTCGTTTCCCATAGGGTAACTCGGGGTTTTATAATATTGTTTCATCGTTGGGTACGATACCGATGGGATAGGCTACCGCTTTTTCCAACACAGCTAATCGATTATCGCCTCTCGAAGAACGGGGGCTGGTATCCTCGCGCGATCCGGGTAGACGGCTGCGGAGAGGAACAAAAGGAATCGAGGTGCGCGCAAGAAAGATAATAAGAGGGAGAGACGATGATGAACTGGAGGAGAAGGTTCGTACCAACGGATGGACGGACGGCGAACGCATCAATGACAAGCCGTAAATCATAGTTTTACGACCCGTCTTTATGTGGCCCTTATTCGTGTCACTCGACGCTCGAGAGAGCCTCTCGCGATTTTTCTGTCTGGCCACCCCGCGCGTTACGCTTACGTTCAGGGCCGTACCGGTCCTTTCGACGAACGATAAACCTTTCGACTTTCATTTACGTATTCATGGACCAAATTCATTGATCAAAAACGAACACGGCAAAGAGAATTGGACGGCGAACAATGAATTGTTAATATTATGTGAATGTCTTTTGATCTGCTTTCTAAATCATCGGATCTGTAGAGCGGATATGAGCACGATAACAAAAATTAACCGTATGTAATGAAAATGAAATTATTATCAATTTCGTACAATGAAAATGAATAATTGGAAGCATTTTTGTACCCGGCTGCACGTTCTACGGTTTCAATGCCGAAACGAGGAGTTCTGTATCGCTGACGGCGATCATTGAACAAAAGTATCGGAAGTTAAACCCGTCGTAAGAAAAACAATGGGGAACGACCGTGGTACAGCCTTTTAATTTACGCCCGCGGGGGCACTCTCTTCGTAAAGAGAAATTTTTTCATCGGCGCTGGCGAGCGTGTTTAAAAATCGTGAAACGTGCAGAGACAAAAGAGAAGCGGAGAGAACGGTATCGGGTGGCTCAGTGGATCCGCCCCTGGTGTGCGTGTAAGCGCATACAGCAGGTACCCGGTGTGCGTGGGCGTCGTTTTACGGGTTTTGCGTTTAAGTGGCGAGCGTTTCTTAATTCGAGAATCGCCTAACAGTGTCGTGTTTAACGGTGATTCGATGATAATTGAAAAGGTAAAAAAAGAGCCAAGGCTGGCCCCGCGTGGAACTATGCCCGGGCGGCGACCTAAGGGGAGGAACTCCGAAGGACGACGAGGGGTTAAAGTACGACCCTGACATTCTCGATTCTATGTACAACCTCGTGGATCCTCCTTGTCGCAACCGTGGATAGTACTTCGCCTAAGTAACTCTACAAACGCATAGCGCACGAGCCTCTCGCTCTCTCGAGAGGATTTTGTCTCGGCTACGTCCGTTCCGAGATAAAATCTGCGGCGCAACTTGTATATCTAATGCAACGACCTGGGAACCGTTCCTCCTCGATGATCGACGTCGATATTCGTAACACGCAGGGATATTTTCCCGTGAAATCGACTGCGATACCACGAGCCCGATCGGTTCCTCGATAAACAGACGCGTTTGGAAATTCAAGCCTCGAGTTCTCGTCGAAATCGAGGAAGGAGTAGTCGCGGCACGAGTGGAAAAATTTCCTCCGTTCAGTACCGATCGCGATAAGAATCAGGAAAATCCTATTACGCGCAGAGGCGGACAGCCTCGCGTAACATAACAGACGAAGTAAAGTAAGAGGGTATGCAGATCACGGAAAATGCGTAGTAAAGAGCCCTAAAAGGAGCAGTTCAGAACTTTTGCTATCTCGACTCGAGAGTTGATCTCGTCGAGGGTCACATATATATCTTTATGGGCGCGGAATAAACGAATTTCTCGAGACGACGGTCAGTCTTTTAGATGAGTCCGGATAAACAGGACTCGCGTCCGAAAAATTTCTATTCCGACAGCATGAGAATTTTTAGTTACGTCCGTCGAATTTCCTTTGAACGGTTTATAAGCATCGGAAAAGCTTAAGAATGTCTCACTACAGTAGAATTTTAACGAAGGCGAAAAGAACAATGAATACTTTCAAATTCAAGTGGAGTGTCTGCTGTTTTCAAATTCCATTAAAATTCTACTTCAACGCTCGACCACACGTCGAACACCGGGCCAGGAAACGTTACCCCATCCGCTATATTCCCTGGACTTATCACCACTTTATTAAACTTCAGGCAACTGTTAAAGATTCGTTCAAAGAATTTATAAACTCTAGAAGTCCGGAGTAAAAGAAGTTGGAATTAAAAAGCAGATTTCTCATTGGCTAAAATGTATAGACTGGATCTTATTTTGATTAATAAAGTTTATTCTGAGTCGAGATACGATCCCGAAGGCAAAGTTTAAGAACCGACTTTAATTTCGTAGTAATCTAGAATTCTTATTATAGAAGAAGATGAAAAATGGACTGCGGAACGCGGTGACACGTGTATGTACATTGCACGTACATAACATCATCGATTAAACTGTAATTACCAGAGTGTGTAAAACATTAAGCGTCATAACTTCGCATTGTTTCGCGTGGGTCTGTTGTTCGTTGCTATTTTATCGATCATGCTGGATGTATAAATCGGTCACTGTAATTACGGAAACAATGAGCCGACTGATAACGATTGTAGCTCGGCACGGTTCGATTCGCCAAAAGGTCGCTTTATCGGGTCGACGTTATAGAACACGGTTCCCTTGTAACGCGTTAAAACGGGTCAAAGAGACGGTACCAGAAATAATATAATAAGAAAAACCCACACAGACTTTCACGAGATATAGAAATTGATTTATCAGAAATTTGCAACGATCTGCGCAAAAACGGACATCAGGAGCGTAACATCGAAGTGGAGAATTTCGATAAAAGATAACCCGTTCAGATATGCATATGCAAATTTGCTTCGGTAGTTAGCCAGTATAATTAGATATAAAGTTGTTATTGAAACTGCTCGGGAAACAGAATCACACGAGGGAGGAGCGTGTATCCCCTCGATCGTTCAATCAAACAATTACCAAGTTGGTTCCCGCGTTCATCGTTTTCGATCATCGCCGGCTATGACGACTCTCGCTGATGGAGACTACGGAGTGGGGCGCTTCCGGCGAAAGTAGATAAAAAAGCTTGGGGAGTGGATGCAAGGTACACAGAAGGTATATATACAAAAGCTTTCCCCTGGCGAAGAACGGAGGGACTGGCCACGACGGAGACGCGTGTAACACGCGTGTAACGATCTCCGGCGCGGCGCGGCGTGGGTGCAGAAAAGAATGTCGAAGTAGAAAAAAGAAAAGAAGATACGACGCCGTCGACGCCGTCGTAGCGGAGAATGGGGATGGGAAAGAATAACATGCAACA